GTAGCACGGAGCTGTGAAATCCTGGATTGTCACACGGAGCTGTGAGATCCGAAGCAGCAGTGTCGGAGGCACTGGGCGTGATTAGTGCGGGCTTTGTGATCAAAGCACTAGATCACGGGATACGTTTCTACCGGAGTGTGGAAGACGGGGGGGGGGGGGGGGGGGGGGGAAGGAACGCGGAGTCGTGAAATCCTGGGATAGTAGCGCGGCGACGTGAAACCCGAAGCAGCAGTGTGGTGTCACTGGGCGTGATTAGTGCGGGCTTTGTGATCAAAGCACTAGATCACGGAAATTCATTGTATCTTGGAACCAAGAAGTGGTGGATATAGTGAATTGCTCTTGGAGATAAAAGCAAGTGGAGTAGGAGGATTACACCACCTCGCGAACCACTATAATTGTCTTGTGTTCTTTACTGCTTTCTTTACTTACTGCTCTTTACATATTCGCTCTACACGAGATATACTGCTCACACAATCTCACACACACTTTATGTTTATTTATTTCCGCTGTGCACCATACTCTAACAATCTAGTTAAGAGTTTTGGTTTATCTCTGGCTTAGCAATTGTTGTGTTGTGCAAAAAAGTTTGAAAGTCTGTTCACCCCCCTCCCCCCCTCTAGACTTTCACCTTACCTCTTTTGGGACCAACAATTGGTATCAGAGCCTGTAGCCTATTTGAGTCAGTTTGTACCAACCTTTGGTATTAAAACACGTTGCCTAACTGGGTTAACTATTTTTGACTGCTAGGCTGATCCCTTCTACAAAGTGTGTGAATTGGATTAATCTTTCATATCTCTCGTGGTGATGATGAAGAAAGATTTAGCTCAAAATCTATTATTCTCACTTGATAAATTTGATGATTGGAAAGTTCGTATGCAGGTACACTTATCGGCTTTACACGATGAAATGTGGGAAGTTATTTCCACTGGCCCTATAGAAATATTAAAAATTAACACGGCGTTTGTTATATCCCCGGATGCTCCACTGTACATACAAAAGCCAAAACTGGAATGGACATCAAACGATAGAACGCGGAATAATCTTGACAATATTGCCAAGAATATTCTATTCAAAGCCGTTGATGATACAATATTTCCGAAGATCCGAAAGTGTGCTACTGCAAAAGAAATATGGGAAACTCTCATCAAGATTGGCGAAGGAGATGAACAAGAAAAAGACAATAAGCTCACAATCGCCATGAAGAAATTTGAAGATTTCAAAATGCTCTCAAATGAAAGTGTTGCAGACATGGAAACTCGAATTATCAAAGTTCTTGAAGAGATTAGTGATCTTGGCAAAAATATTAGCCAAAAAGAAATTAATCTCAAAATCCTACGAGGCTTACCATCTGCATGGGATATGAAGGTTACGGCTATGCGCGATCACCGAGATCTAAGAATGTTGTCTACAGACAAATTATTTAGTGATCTAAAGGCATATGAGTTCGAAATGAAGGCCAAAGATGATGATGTTCATGAAGTTCGAAATGCTGCTCTAATGGCCGAACAACCGTCAACCTCCAGGTCAGTAGAAAATAATGTTGATTTTATGACTAACGAACAGTTTGCTCTTTGTGTCAAAAAGTTTAGAAGGTTTATGCGAAAATGAGACAACAAAAATTCTGCTCGTGGAAAATTCGTCTCTCGCACCCCACAAGAAGAAAAAGGCGAAGAAAACAACAATTTGTGCTACAATTGCCGCAAACCCGGACATTTTAAAATAAATTGTCCGTATCCGATCGTTAGCAAGTATCAAGGAAAAAATGTTGAATCTACGCCGAACAAATCCGAAAGCAAAAGGTTCAAGCGCAACAAAAGAAAAGCTCTCGTTAGCAACGAACCAAACGAAAATGATGATTCAGAGGATTCATCATCAAGCGATGAAAGTTCATGTTCTGATGATGATACGGCGCTAGTATGCAAGTCAATTGAGTTGAGTACAAGTGAAGATTGTTTTATGGCTCTTGGAGCAGAGGAAGAAGAGGTAACATCTAATTCTTTCAATTCTGTTAATTCTTCTTTTTCTCGTGAATCTATTGACAATCTAATGCGAGAATGTCAAGAGATTATGCTCACTCATCCTCAACTCAAGAAGCGCAATAATATTCTAATTCTTGAAAAAGAAGAAATGAATAAAAAATTGCAAGATGCTTTACTTGAAGTGAGTAAATTGAAGAATGAAAATATTCATCTTCAAGAAGAGTGTAAAGCAAGAGAGGTTAGAGAACATAATCTTAGAGCTACTATTGCTACATTCACTAATTCGTCTAAAATAATAGATAAAATGGTGAGCATGCAAAAGCCATCAGGAGATAGAACCGGAATAGGTTATGACTCCACATGTTCTCAAACCCCTCAAAATCTGACTAATTCTACTACTACTTTAAATAATAAAGTTCAAGTGGTAAAATTTGTTAAAAGTCAGAATAGCACAATGAGACAAGGACTTGGCTATCAAACAAATGCAAAGATGAATGTTGAAAGGCCGAAACAATTCCATAATACGGCAAAGCAACAAAAATACTTCAAGCAAAGATATGCCAAAGAGTTAAGTGCAAAAAGATTTCATAGAAAAGAGGGAAGCTTTTCTAGAAATAAAGTTGGGAGATTTTATCCCACTCAAAAGGATTGGTTGTGTAATAGATGTAATGCTTTTTATAGACCAAAGCAACCATTCTCTTCCCAGGTGCCAAAATATAAAAATGTTTTTCAAAACCCGGCGCCAAAAATGTTTTCAAAGGTGAGTTATGATTATCAAATCTCAAATGGTTACAAATCGCCTCATCTTAATTCAATAAGATCAAGGTGGGTTTGGTTACCAAAAATCACTAACAGTAAAGGACCCAAGCAAGTATGGGTACCTAAAGTTAATTAATCTTTTTTGCAGGATGTGTGGTACATCGATAAGTTAAAATTTCATGATTAGTGCGGGCTTTGTGATCAAAGCACTAGATCACGGAAATTCATTGTATCTTGGAACCAAGAAGTGGTGGATATAGTGAATTGTTCTTGGAAATAAGAGCAAGTGGAGTAGGAGGATTACACCACCTCGCGAACCACTATAATTGTCATATGTTCTTTACTGCTTTCTTTACTTACTGCTCTTTACATATTCGCTCTACACGAGATATACTGCTCACACAATCTCACACACACTTTATGTTTATTTATTTCCGCTGTGCACCATACTCTAACAATCTAGTTAAGAGTTTTGGTTTATCTCTGGCTTAGCAATTGTTGTGCTGTGCGAAAAAGTTTGAAAGTCTATTCACCCCCCCTCTAGACTTTCACCTTTCCTCTTTTGGGACCAACATATATATATATATATATATATATATATATATATATATATATATATATATATATATATATATATATATATATATATATATATATATATGTATATATGTGAGAACTTGTGGACAAATCCAAACCATTGGTATGCAAGATCTGATGGATAAGAAATTAAGTAAAAATGAGCGGGGTCATTTTCATAAATATTACAAAATTTTGTTTATTTACATACGTTAGATCTACGAGATCAATGGTTTGGATTTGTTCACAGATTCTCACATGTGGCATTATTCTCACCTGATTAAGGACCAATGTATATATAATGTATATATATATATATATATATATATATATATATATATATATATATATATATATATATATATATATATATATATATATATATATATATATAGGGAAGGGTTCAGGTGTGTTTGATGCTTCCCGTGCGGTTGGACGCAGTTTAAGCATTAACATGGCGCACCTTAAGTACACAAATCACCACGCACCTTATGTCCACAGACAAAGCACCTTAAGAAGACAAATCACTCACATTAAGTACAAAAACCACGCACATTAAGCACAGAACAAAGCACATTGAGCACAAAACTCACAGAATTAAGATTTTAAAATGTCTCACATTAAACACAAACTCACGCACATTAAGTACAAAACTCATGCACATTAAGCACAAACCTCACGCACATTAAGCATTAAACTGACGCACGTTAAGTATTAACTCACAGATTTTAAGTTTCAACAACTACTACCATTAATCACTAACCCCACGCACCTTAAGCACAAACCCCACGCACATTAAGCACAAACTTCACTCACCTTAAGAACAAATCTCACGCACCTTAAGCACAAAAGCCCACACTTTAAGTTTTAACAACTATTCACATTAAACACAAACTCACACACATTATATTAGATGATACTATTACACCCTCAGTAACAATAAAGAAGTAGGGGCTTTCTTGTCTTTTAGCTTATGCTTTCAGTTGTAACGCCTTTTCCCGCCATCTTGGCTTTGTTCCTATACGCACTCTTCTCCTTTATTGTAAGTTGATGAAATAGTTCAACTGATATGAAAGATCTTCTTCCTTCCCCTCTCTAATCCCTGCTCTGCAACTCATCATGGTATCAGAGCGCCGCCGGGAGAGCTACGCCATCGCGGTTATCGGTAAATCAAGCCAGGAAGTGCAGCTGGAATCGCCGGTAGATGTCAATGCGCAGAGAATTCCCGTTTCGCAGAGGAACACTGTTGTTGAAGATCTAGATAATCCCTTTTATCTGAGCAGCAACGAAAATCCTAATGCAATCCTCGTGAGTCCTCCTCTTTCTGGTAGCAGCAACTATGCGTCATGGACCATCTCCATGCGAGTGGCCCTCGAAGTCAAGATCAAATGGGGAATCGTCAATGGAAGTGTTCCTGCGCCAGAGAGAACTCACAATCAGTACAATGCGTGGAGGAGATGCAATCTAATTGCATCTTCATGGATCCTGAGGTCTGTGCACCCATCCATTGCACAAAGTGTATTGTATATGGACGAAGCAAAGCTGATCTAGAATGATTTACAAAGGAGGTTTTCGCAACGAGATCCGCATCGGATTTCATCTCTGCAAAGCGAAATCTATGATCTAAAATAGGGAAGCATGTCTGTCAATGATTATTATACCAAGTGTCGCACACTTTGGGAAGAAATGAATGATCTCAGGCCCCTCCCAATCTGCAAGTGCACGCCGCGCTGTTCGTGTGATCTAGTGGATCAGATCAGAAAGGACCGAGAAATTGACCAGGTCATAAGGTTTCTACAGGGGCTCAATGAGGCATACAACTCTCTGAAATTCGGAGTTCTTGTTCTTGATCCCCTTCCTGAGCTGCACAAGGTGTTGGCAATGACTGAGAAATTCGAAAGACAGCTCAATGTTACCAATCTCAACAAACTTGGCTTGGAGTTTGCCCAGGCAAACGCAGTTCAGACTCAGACTGAACAAATCAATGAACCAATGGACTCAATGGCTGCTGCATTCAACTTCTCTAATGGCAAAAGGCATGCAAACTCAAAAGGAGGAAACAAGAATGTGGCTAAATGCACTTTTTGCGGGATGATTGGACACACCATCGAGAAGTGTTACAAGAAACACGGATTCCCTCCGGGTTGGATACCAGGCTACAAATCCAAAGGGAAACAATATGCTAATGCCACAACTGCACAATTAGAACAGAGTTTCACTCCTCAGCAAATTCAAGGCCTGATCTCTCTTCTTGATCGAAAGGGGCACAAACAACAATCCAATAGTGCAGCAGTACATAACCAACAATCCACCAATGCAGTAGTTTATTTAGTTCCCAACTTCAACAGCATGAAGTCAAACAACGAAGGCAAGTTCTATGTTCCTACTTACATTAACAATGCTTGCTTGACATCCTCTACTTGGATTATAGATTCAGGAGCTACTGACCATATTTTATGCTCTCTTGAATTCTTTGATGAATATTCTGCTGTGAATGGTGCTATGGTCAATCTGCCTAATGGGGCCTGTGGTGCTGTTAAACATATGGGAAGTATACGATTAAACAATAATCTGTGGCTAAGAGATGCATTACACATCCCCTCATTCAAGTTCAATATAATATCTGTGAATAAATTGCTGAAGAATTCATCTCACTCTCTATTATTTACGTACGGTCAGTGTCTTCTAGTGGACCATGGGAAGATGATTGGCTTTGCTAAAGAGGAGAAGGGGTTATACTTGCTCAATGATCCACCACCAGCTAGTCTTGATTCTGATAATTGTAATCAAACTTCTATGCTTTGTAATAATGTTGAACTATGGCACCAACGCTTGGGGCATTTTCCCTCAAATAAATTGCATCTTCTTGACATTTCTGTTCCCAGCACTAAGAACATGGCTTGTGACATATGCCATCTTGCTAAGCATTAGAGAATCCCCTTCCCCCTAAGCAAAACTGTCTCTGCAGCCTGCTTTGATCTAGCCCATATGGACATATGGGGTCCTTTCCACATCAAGACTCTGAAAGGAGAAAGATACTTCCTCACTATTGTAGACGATTGTTCTAGGTTTACTTGGTTAAAGCTCATGAGAGACAAGTCAGAAACAAGGGGTTCAATAAGAGATTTTTTCAAGATGGTTCACACACAGTTTGGAGTCATTAAAAAAACAATAAGGAGCGATAATGGTCTGGAATTTAACATGAAAGATCTATTTGAAGAAAATGGCACCATTCATCAAAAATCATGTGTCAATACTCCTCAACAGAATGATGTGGTTGAGAGAAAACATCAGCATGTTTTAGCAGTTGCTCGAGCTCTGAGATTTCAAGCAGGCCTCCCTCTCGAGTTTTGGGGGCACTGTGTTCTTCATGCAGTTTATGTCATCAATAGGCTTCCCTCTATAGTTCTTGGTTGGTCAACCATAAGCTGTATGGTAAGGTTCCAGATCTCTCTAACCTAAAGGTCTTTGGTTGTTTATCTTTTGCTGCCTAATGGGGCCTATGTTGCTGTTAAACGTATGGGAAGTATACGATTAAACAATAATCTGTGGCTAAGAGATGCATTACACATCCCCTCATTCAAGTTCAATATAATATCTGTGAATAAATTGCTGAAGAATTCATCTCACTCTCTATTATTTACGTACGGTCAGTGTCTTCTAGTGGACCATGGGAAAGATCTTCTTCCTTCCTCTCTCTAATCTTTGCTCTGCAACTCATCACATTAAGCACAAAACTCACGCACATTACGCACAAGATTCACGCACCTTATATATAAAATTCATGCACATTAATCAAAAAATCACTCACCTTAATTTTGACATAAATGCAAAAATTCTAAAATTACCACCGTATTTTTTTTTTTTTTTTTTGGTAATCTTGGACATTGATTAAAGCGAGATGAATGACTCAGATTAAATCGCACAGCCACACCTGAAGCGTTCACCCGCACGAGAACCGATATATATATATATATACATATCACAGTTTTTCACCTATAATAATTACAAAATATTCCCTTAATAAATCCACAGCAAAAAAGGATACGACGGAAAAAAAAAAAAAAAAAAAAAAACTCGGGCATACTTTAGTTCAGAACATCCCAGAAATCGGAATGAATCTTTGTGTGAATTATGGGAGCATATCGTATAAAATGCATATATATGAAATTTGGGGAAAGAGTTATGTTGTAGTAGTTATAAATATTTGTAGAAATATCATAGATTGTTCAATGAATTTTAACGTTCTTGAGACTTTGAGATTAAGTAATAAAATTCTTGAATTATAGCAGCGAAAACATATATCAAATATATTCTTGAAACGAAATATAAGTAAATAAAATTAAGAATCAAATCTTACACAAATTAAATCCAGTCCATTCATCTAAAGATGATCAAAGTTGAAAATCAATGGAAATAGAGAATAAATGCGAATGTATTTTTGTAATTTCAGTAATTACAATTGTTTATTTGAAAATGTTTGACAGTGTATTCGCGGATAACTGAAAGTGCATTTCGAAACTCTTGTGGTGACACGAAAGAGGAAGGTGATGAGAAACGCAGTGGCATTTTTATAATTTTTTTGTAATTACAATTCTACAATTGGAAATGCTTAGATTGATAGCCATTCGCAGATAATTGAAAGTACATTTCGAAATTCTAGTGGTGACACGAAGGAGGAAGGTGATGAGAATCACTTCCGTATACTCAAAGTATTTTCAAATGCTCTGTTAAGCATTTCTAAATGCACAATCATAATTACATAAATTACAAAAATGTCATAGCATTTTTTTCTTAGTTTTAATGATTTTTAACCTTTGATCTCCATAGATGGGTGGACCAAATTTTTCCTCAGTTCTTACTTGAGAAGCCATTCGGAATATATTGAGACCCGCGCTCTGATCAAGTGCGATCTGGTTTTCCCGTGTGAATGTGCGAATTGAAAGAACGCACTGTTAAGGATATGAGTGGTGGTTGACATATTCTATCTCTATTCTTGTTACCCTCCTGTAGAATAACTTTATTAGACTAGTGCTTGTAACTTCCTGCTACTTACTCTCTCTAAGTGTACTATTTATAGCTAGTCATTTTACATCAATAAACACTTGATTCATTCCCTCACATGGTATCAAGAGCCACAATCTCCTAAGAGAATTTTTTTCCTTTCCTCTTCGCCACCTTTTGTGACACAGATGGCCTCCCCATATTCTACAACCAGCAATGATGTTATATATCTAGCTAAACGCTCCGTCCAACTTCCCTACTAAACTTACCCCCACCAATTTCCCCGTTTGGAAACGCCAGGTTCAGGCAACATTAATTGGCTTCAATCTCCTTGGCTACATCAACGGTTCTGTTAAAGAACCAGTCAAGTTTAGCGATACTGAACAAACCACCCCGAATCCTGCCCACCTAACTTGGTTTTGTCAAGACCAGATCATCACTAATGCGCTACTGGGGAGTTGTTCTTACACAATTCAGCCTCTTATTTCTTTCGCACCAACAACGTGCGATGCCTAGCAACGGCTCGTTGCTAGCTATGCTAGTGCCTCTCGAGGACGGATCATTTCCCTCAAGGCTAAGCTCACCAAAAACCCGAAAGGTGATCGGTCGGTTACCGCTTTCCTGACTGATATGCGGTCTATAGCCGACGATCTCGCCTTGGCTCAGTGCCCAATTTCGGATGAAGACATGGTTGTTTATGTTCTAACGCAACTAGGAGACGAGTACAGCTCCATCGTTTCTGCGGTTCGTGTTCGTGACAAACCCATCTCTTTGGGTGAATTAGCGGATGTTCTCACAGATCATGAGCGTCATTTGAAAGAAGCCGATGATGCTCGTCAATCCCTGTTGGCCACTGCTAATACTGCTGAGCGCAGCTCTTGGGCTTCACCGAATTCTCATCAGTCTACAACCAACTGGAGGTTCCGCACCAACAACAATGCTAACCGGCAAACTCGCCCGCAAAATGGCAACAATCGACCCAATGTTGTGTGCCGATTCTGTAACTTAGCTGGCCATGAAACCCGTGTCTACCGTAAGTTAGCCTGGTTCTTAAAGGATCATAATGTTTTTCCCATGTAGGCTCCTATGTCCACTTCGTCTCCTACAGCAAATTCAACCATAGGTACGACTTCACCATGGTTATTTGACAGTGGGGCGTCTCATCATGCCACCCCGAACATGGCACCTCTATAGACCTTCTCTGAGTACAAGGGTCCTAATGAGATACGCCTGGGTGACTATAATTCACCAAAAATCTCTCATATTGGTCAGTCTGCTATTCCCACTCCCTCTTCCGTTCTCACTCTACAAAATATCCTGCGTTTCCCACAGTTGAATAAAAATTTATTGTCTGTGTCTCAGTTGTGCAAAACTAATCGCGTGTCGGTTGAGTTTTTTGACTCCTATTTTGTCTTGAAGGATCTTTGAACGGGGATGTCACTTCTACGGAGGCGACCATTGATGGTGTCTACTATAGACCCCTCTCGAGTCAGCCTACAATAAACTCTACAGAACTTTCGCGTGTGTCGCAGTGGCAGCATCGTCTTGGTCATCCGTCCAGTAAGGTGTTACATCTGGTGTTGCAACACTGCAATGTTTCCATTCCTTTGTCCTCGTTAAATAAATTTTACTGTCAGTCATGCAATGTATACAAGAGTCACAAATTACCCTTCTCAAAAAGCACTCTTGTTAGTTCTAGGCCTCTACAATTAATCTACACTGATGTATGGGGTACTTCTGAAAAGTCGATTGATGGGTTTGCTTATTATGTAATTTTTGTTGATCATTTTTCTCGATATATCTGGTTATATCCCTTAAAACGCAAGTTCGATGTGTTTGATGTCTTTCCACAGTTCAAAAGGTTAGTAGAGAAGTTCTTCAATATGTCAATTATCTCTGTTTATTCTGATAATGGAATGGAGTTTGTTAAATTAATACCGATGTTTAACACTCATGGTATTTCACATTTTACTACTCCCCCTCATACTCCCGAGCACAATGGCATGGCTGAACGACGACACCGGCATGTGGTTGAGACTGGTATGTCCCTTCTTCATGTTGCCTCTATGCCGTCTTCATTTTGGTCTTATGCTTTTCAAACAGTAGCCTATCTCATTAATCGGCTCTCGACTTCCGTTTCAGGTAATAAATCCCCTTATCATGTTTTGTTTAACCAGTTACCAAATTATGATAAGCTACAACCCTTTGGTTGTTTGTGTTTCCCCTGGTTACGTTCCTATAATACAAAAAAAACTGGAACCAAGTTCACGCCCGTGTATTTTTCTGGGATATTCAAACACACAATCAACTTATAAATGCCTCGATTATGTCTCGAATCGGGTATATTTATTGAGACATGTACGTTTTGTTTCTCATGTGTTTCCTGCCAGGGAGTTACAGGTTAAGTCAGATATGACTGATGGGGTTCAATCTCCTGCCTTGCCACAAATTCTATTCAAGACACTGGTCTCGTCTGGTGCGTCACCAACCTCAGAATCGTCATTTTCTTCCTCACCACCCGCTGCGTCGATTTCGCCAGGACTTCCGACGCCGCAAACTCCCTCGACGTCTGGGTAGTCCGGCGACGCTAGGTGGAGGAAAGCCATGGACGAGGAGTTCGAAGCTCTGCACCGCAACAATACGTGGTCGCTTGTCCCGCGTGATGATTGTGTTCCAATTGGCTGTAAATGGTTTTAATGGGTGAAGCGTAAATCGGATGGTTCCGTTGATCGGTACAAGGAACGTCTTGTGGTTAAAGGGTTCCTACAGACTGCTGGGCGGGACTACTTTGAAACATATAGCCCAGTTATGAAACCGGTCACTATCCGATTGGTCCTAACCATTGCGTTAAGTAATCGCTGGACTTTGCGCCAGTTGGATATCAATAACGCATTCCTGCATGGCACACTACATGAGAAAGTATTTAT